TTCATAACACTGGTGAGTTTTATAGAATATAAAATTACGTTAATTAAATCATTTAAAACAATATCAATATAATATTTTAGCTTAAAATGTGTTACTAATAATGAATTTTAATGGCATGTCATTGTTTACATTTTGCTTCATTGGTATTGCTCTGTTTTTTTGACTATACCTAAACAAAACAGTAAATAATTTAATAATTTAATTTTTAGAGAATGATATTTATCTCTTAAAATGTACGAATTTTAATAATTAAATTACTAAGATATTTCAAATGAACTGTTTTGATTTTATAGAGGCAATTTATTTTTGCTTAAAATTATATTTTTTTTTTGTAATTTCAACAGGTTTATTAGTTGATATTTAATTCGCTTTACTAATTAATTGCCAATATCTCAATTTTTAAACATTCTTTATGTTATGCTGTCTGCCACATACACTATTAATAAATATCGCAAATTATTCCCCCGACATCTATTTTTCTGTTCTTACTATCTATCTGTTTCTATAGATTTCAATATGGTCAAAAACGATTCTTAATTGATCGTTTTTATCGTTAGAATTAGAAAAAAATTCATATAAATGCAGACTCAAATTGTGCTCAAAATATTTCTTCTGCACTTTAGAAATTTTCTTCTTAATTATTTTTAATATTCAAAAATTTTTTTCTGAAATTATATTTGCCTAATTGTTCTTTTTTTTTCATATATATGTTTTTAATAACTATTACTGCACTTCTCTTTAGAAACCTTTTACAAATTTGTCCGATAACATTCAAGAAGTCTCTATCTGTCATGTAAATATCAATGTAATTTCTATATTTCTACAAATGAAAAAATAGAGCTGCATATATTTTACTCAGAAATACATTTATATTCCATATTTTTAAAAGTTAAAAATAGTGCCTGCATAAATTGTGAAATATATTAGAAACTTTACATATTCCTAATTTAGTAGAGTATTTATAGTGTTGTTGCTCAAATTATTCTGCATTTCTAACAGTTTTTCTTCGATATTATTTAGTTTCTGCAATAGTGTATCATCTTCACCAACCTTCAAAAGAATAAAAGTAAAATCAAAAAAAAAAAAACAAACTCCAAATATCTTCAAAATATCATCAAATATCCCTCTTCAAAGTTTTATGTTGTGTACTAGATATTTTAAACAAAAATAAAAAATTAGATCTACTTCAGTTATACTGGTTTTGGTTTTAATTTTAGCTTTCAAAAATTTTCATTTTGCATTTCATTTTGACAGCTTAAATTACAAACAAAATTCTCGTGTGAATCCAGTATTAGCAATGGTAATCTATAGATATATAGAATCTATAGACAAAAAAATAAAAAAATTTGCAATATATTTTTACGTTTGAATTTTAAAAGAATATGATTTAACATATCGTGATTCTCTAATTGAAATGCAAAGTTTTTTAAGGTATCAAAAACTCAACTTTATTACTTAAATTAAATGTAAATGATTCAGGAATATCTAAGGTGACCTAATTACTTTTTAATTTTTTTTTTATTTTAGCGATTTTGATTATCTATTTTATATATTAAACCGCCAAATTTTAAGAGCATGGTCACCTTACGAAAGTGATTATCAAAATTGCTTAACACAAGCAAAAAGGAAGAAAGCAATTAAGAACAGCTGAGCAAACTTCTTTTGTTTTCGTTATTTACTTAAATTGTCCTGTATAGATAATACAACAATAAAAACAATAGTTTAATTTAAGAAAAATATGTTGCCATCCTTACACAGTTTCGATAGATACAGTCAAGAGAAAAATTTAATTTTGTTAGTGCTTTATGCCTTATATAAAATATTTTATTATTCCATGAAAATTTTCTGAATTTTAAAAATACGAATTTATCATAGCATCCTTTTTAAGAAGAAATTTTCCAAATAAAAAAAGATCAGAAAATTAAATTTTTAATTTGAAAATTTTATTCCTGTCCATATGTGAATGTTTTATTTGCTGGGAAATACTTTTATAATAGCAATATGTATATCAATAGTAAAAATAAGTTCCTCTTCCATTAAAATTCCCAAAAAAATTTTTGATTATTAATGTTAGGGGATATGGCACTGTGATCGTCGGGTATATTGTATCCCCTTCTGGGTTTAGACTAGGTTTCTAACCCCTGTTGCGTCAATAAAAAGTAGTATAGAACCTTCTTACAGAGTATTATTACCTCTTCCTTAAAAGCTTGTTCCGTATGTGCATTAGCGCAGGGCATTCTAACAGCTCATGTGTGGCCGACTCCTCATTCTTTTCACAGAATATACAGTTTGCATCCGTAAGTATACCCAATTTTGTAAGGTGGTGTTTTAGTCTACAGTGCCCTGTTAGGATTCCTGTGATGATTCTAAGTTTTTCTTTTGATAGGTTCATACAATCCTGGTATCTCTTATTGTTATATGTACCAATAAGTGATTTGGATTGTTTTAATTCTGATATATTATCCCAGTAATTCTTTTTATTCTAGTTTTCCTATATTTTTATGAGAGAAAGGAGCGTATTATGTCCTAGTGCACAAAAAGGTTCCGGCCCCATCATCGGTGAGGCTGTTACTTTTCTGATTAGTTTGTCCGCGTACGCCAGTATGTCAAGGCACCCAAAGAATCGACACCTGATTTGATTCGCCAAGCAGATTTAGCTAATCAAGACATGTTTGCATCAGGCTTAAGGTCACGTGATGCGAGTTCAGTACTTTGATCGCCGCTTGGCTATCTGTCAGACATTTTTAATTTGGTAATTCCGTCCAATATTGGTGAGTACGCACTTTAAAATTGCGTAAATTTCTGCTTGGAAGATGTTAGTATTTTTACCCAGTGCTTTCCAATGCTTCTTGTGTGGTCAGACTATGCCCGTTTTGGCTCCTCCTCCGTAACCATGCGATTTTATAAATTTTCTTTTCAGTCTTTTAAGTTATAATTATTATTTTGTTAAAAAAATTTTTTTTCGTCCTTAAAAACATGAAATTTCCTTTATTAAAAAATTTAAAAATTTTCCCACACTTTTTTTTACTAATTTAATAAAATTAATATTTAAATAAATTAATGTTGTTAAAGCCATATTAAAACACTCAATGCTTTTATAATTAAAAATTATTTTTAAACTAAATTATTTACTAAATGTTTGTGTTTGTCCTTTTTTATTTCTTTGCTATTCGAAACCCTCTAAATTTAAAAAAAAATAGCTTTTTCGTCATTATAAGAAAGCGTAGCTTTATCAGCAAAACTAATTTAACTTTAAAAGTTATTTTGTGATAATAATTTTTTTTCCATTCCACTATTTTCATAATTTCTATTAGAATTGTTACAGTTTGCATTCTATAATATTTATCTCATTCTATGAAACACAACCTGGCGTATGAGTAACATAAAAAATGAATGAGTGATTAATTAATAATACACAAACTCCATTTAATTAACTTTAACAATCCAACGTTACAGTGCAACAAAACCTATTTAATTAATATTCTTAAAATGCAGCTCGTATCGTGCTAATTTGAATATTTGAATTATTTCAAAATTATAATGATAAAATTCTTAAACTCTTAAAAATTTTTATCGATGCTATACAAATGAAAACGCCATATCTGTATTTCTGTGTATGTTAGTATTAATGATAATGCATATAATTATGTATAAATCGTGAGCTTAAATAATGCACTAAATGCACTTGACGGCATAATAGATGCGACATGCACAGATCAACCCAAAAGCAAAATGAAATAACGGATAGAAAAGAGGACAGGCAATTCATCAAAGCAGCACAATGCAGTATTTATACGCTACATTCGCAACCAGCACGGCAACCAGCAGAAGAGTAGAATGTAGCATAGTAACACAAAGTAGTGCAGTGCATACAAATAATATTAACATATCATATACAGCAACAATAACAATTATAACAACAACAACCATAACAACAACAACTAGAGCAGCA